ATTCTTATTTGAATTTGTGGTTTAGGCCATGAAAAATTCTGATATCTATTAGAAACAGAAACATTAGTACTTAAGTCAACCTATCATGGATTAAAAAGAATTTCAATAAGTAATTCGAAATATACAAAAGCCAAAAGCTTACCATTCTTTTTTGAATTATTCTTTATATTCCATGTAATCTTTCTAAAAGTGTTCAATACATTAATGACACTTTTACATTATTATATTCCTTTCTTTTAGTAGATTGACCTAAATCTCTTAATTTTGGTAGTTGCCCACTTAATGTCTTTTCAGGTTTATTCCTAAATTTCTTTATAACTTATTGGGTCATGAGATGAATTTAATGATTACCTTGCTACTTAAGCCTTGTATCCTCCTAAGTTAACATAATGGTCAATTCTTTCACTTTCCACTTGTCTTAATAGTGTTAATTTGAAATGACCCATACTGAGTAGACAAAAAATTGAGAATATAAATTGAATAAGAAAATTCTCATCCACAATCATCCATAAAGTTCTTAATTTTGTAGCAACATTAGTCATCTTAAGAACATACCTATACATGGTAAGAGTACCAATAAAAATGCATAGTAATGATATAAATTAATAATTTTCGTTTTAGATATTTATTTATAATACGAAAATATTCTTATAGTCAAATATTCCCTAGCACTAACACTATGGGGAACAATTATTCACATAACCATAATGCTTAATCTGTTCGATTTCTTCCAAACTTTATAGAGAATCTTTTCTTCCTCGCTGTTTTTATCAGTAATAATAGTAGGTTTCTCAATTTAAAATGCTAAATCAAGATTTAACACATCTAAATTTTGAATTCAACTTACTCATTCTATTATAAGAAGTTAGTTCTATTGAGAATCAGAACAGATGTAGCATGCGCATTAAGAGATATAATAAAATAAATATAATAAGATAAAATGCTCACAACAATAATGCTTTAAGTTAACAACATGTTTATATAACTTAAAAAATATAAATACAATGTATAACTATAGTACCCTTTTGGGTGACAACTATAAAATACTAATAATGATATTTTTTTGTATTTATATGTACACCTTTATTGGTGATGTATTTAAACAGATAAGTTACATTTGGATATCATATATCTACCTAAATAAAAAATACATGCAATCCCTTAATTTTCATTTAATCACTTGAAAATCAATTCTCTTTGGAGAATTATTTCTCATAATTAAATAAACTCAATATTCATGAATATCACAAAAAATAATAAACATCATAATTCATGAAATATTGCAATTATGTTTACTACTAAAATTAATATTCATTAACCATTATGATTAGACCACTTTGGTAGCTACTAACCCTCACATAACATGAATATTAAATTAGCTAGTTACTAATTTATCATTAATTTACCCTTTTAACATTATACACACATACTCATACTGATCGATCCAAATTTAGGTAGGTTCAATCCCAGAAACTTAATAGTGCAAAAATTCAATAAAAAATATCCTTTTACGTTATATACATAATAAAATATGTTATTTTTATTTTCGGACTTGAAGATCATAATTGAATTAATCTAAAATTGATTCTTCATCATGTATGTATGTATGGGTACAAATATAATAATTTATTTACATGTCCAATAAAATCAAATTTTTAAACACTCATATTATTTTAGAGATTCGATTCCAAATAAAATAAAATAAAATAAAACTTAAGTAAGTAATTATTTAATTACTTAATAAAATACTGTTCATGACATATATGATTAAGGGACCTTTCGGGTAACATTAATGTGTAATTAATTAAGCCAATGTTTATACAAAACAATCAGTATAATGGTATAAACAAAATAAACACATAAGTTGAATATTAATATTCAATTATATTATTAATTATACTTTTAATTACTTTATTTAAAATATTCATATTAGACAAAAAAACAATCATCAAAGCAAAATTCGTCACATGTGCATGTGCATGAATCACTTGTATTGTAAATCCATACATGAATCAATTAACAGCCTTCCAACCAATTCAATCATGCTTGAAAATCAAAGTAGCAAATAAATTGCTTGCTATACAAACTGATCAAAACAAACCCACTAGGAGATTAATCATATATTAAACAATTATTCCCACGAGCCTAAATAGAATGGATTATATAATCATTAAATATATATGTGTGCGAATTTTATAAAAAATAAATTATACAATTATTTATTTTTTTATTTATGCAACTTTAGAGGAAAATCACGAGTTCCTAAATCTTAAGCTCTGATACCACATGTAAACTTTAATAATTTATGTTAAGCCATTAATCACAAATTTATATAAATTCCATATCTTAGAACTTGATGATTTTCACATATATATAATGCATAAATAAATGGTTAGATATAAATACCTCGATTCATGATACTAAATCTTGTTGAGATTAAATCCAACGTCTAGATCATTTAACCACGAACTAATCTGCAACTTTGATCAACAAATAAAGGTGGAAACTAGTTTCTCTCTCTTAACCTTTTGCACATATAAAACTTTTACGTGTTGTATCATTAATCGTACATAATAATTGATAGAGTATATACACTTTTATAAAGGTAGAGAGATGATCAGTTTTCCTTTTAGTAACATAGTTCTACTTTCCATCAAAGTAATTAATAAAAAAAGAAAACACTTCTCTAATAAGTAATTACCAAAAAGGTAATTATAAGTTGACCAAAAATAAATAATATTAATTGATATCTATTTATTTAGTCATCAAGTAATATATCACATGTTCAAATCATGTGGGCTACAATTAAATAAATAATCTTACACGCGGTGGTTCCTAACTTTTGGTTATCTGAGCAACAAATTGTTAGAGTGAAAAAGAAAGACTTTGCTTCTAAAACTAGAGTTACTGTAGCTTAATTGCATCTCTGTTAGTAGGAGGGTTAATTGCATCTCTGTTACTAGCACCCTAGAGAGAGAAGAAAGATTTTTAGAGAAACAAAACTAGGCTTGTATAATTGTATTGATAACAGTGTGAATTCATGAGATATATATATATATATCATATATATATCTCATGAATTCACACTGTTATCAATATATATAGTTGTTACAAAACAAAAGATAGAGAAACAGACAAATATGAAAACAAATATGAAAGTAGTCAGAAAGAGAAAGACCCACAAGAAAGTGAGTACAATATATATACAAAAGAGAGAGAGAGAGAGAGACCCACAAGAAAGTGAGTACAATATATATACACGAGAGAGAGAGAGAGGACATTTTGATTTTTATTATTATATATTTTTTAATTTTGTTATTCGAGTATTTTAGACATTTCAATGACTAAATTGACCTAATGTCCTTATTTGTACAAATTGTAAAATGTAGGAACAGTGAGTTAATTGCACATTTTTTATATTATGAGGGAGTTTTTTACACTTACCCCATAAAGTTATAAAAAATATAAGGAAATTTTTCGAACACGAGAGATTTAATTGCATATTTTGTATATTATGAAGAAATTTTTTAACTTAACCGGAGGCAAGTTGATTTCTCAAAATCCATACTCACCCCTTGGGAGATAAGTGAGCCCGTCAACCGTTTGGATAACAAAATAAACAGCAACCTAGAAAAATAAATAAATAAAATAAAATAATGAAAGCCCACTGAAGGGCCATTAAAATATATATATAATAAAAAACATTAAACTTGTAAGGTAAAAAAAAAAATCTTGTTGGTAAGAGTTTGTTAGGTTAGGTTAATTTAGTATGAACTTAAGAGAGATTATTTAGCTACTATTTTCACAGAAGCAATAACCGCAAATGCATATATAGTTATAAAAAAATAAAAAATTTATATATATATATATAAAGGGTAGGACGAGTTTTTATCAAATCCTATCACCGTCAAGTTCTATTTTTTTGTTTTTTCCGTACCTGTCTGTGCCATTAAAATTGTCGTCCTTAAACTGTCAATCAAATACTCTCTATTGCTTAACCAAATAATTTGACTAAATTAAGCAATTCATTTTATTTTTGAGGATCAAAAGATAGCTTGTTATGCTTTTACATATAGCTGGTTAAAAGTGGACTGAATCATGAATTAAACATCATAACCAAGCTTAAAGAAAGTTCTCAATACAGACTGTGAGAAAGTTGGTATATGGACTGAATCATGAATTGAACCAACAATGTCACACGTATAAGGAGAACAACGTTATACAATCTCATTTACTTGTGCTCTGAAGGAAAGACGAAGATAACAGCTGCTGGATTAAAAAATAAATAAATATTTAAAACCCGACCCTGAGTTAGATGTTTGCATTATTACAATTGAAAATCAAAATCATTATTTGACGTAATTGAGGGTGTGTTTAATAACCTAAAACATTTTTTGTTTTTTATTGTGAATCCTTAAAAAGGAGAAACAAATACAAAAATCATGTTTAATAATTTGTTTTATTTCCTCTTAATAAAAAACATTTCTCATTTTTATGAAAGAAAGAGAAAACATCAAAATGATGTTTCTTGTGTTTTTTCACTGTAGCAGAGGAAACGTTTTCACCACTGCTTTCCTCTTTTTTTTAGTAACAACTGACATTACACAACCACTGATATTACTCCATTAGTACTTTTATATTATATATATACACATTATACAAAATCTATTTTTATATTCTATATATCTCCATTATACAACTGTACGCCCTGTATATATTTTTTTTTAGCTTTTTCTGATTGTTATACATGTATTGGTTGTGGTTTGTTTTCAGATTTTTTGTTAATATATATGTATATATAAAATCTATTTTTATATTCTATATATATACATTATACAATTGTACGTTTATCTTGCCCTATATATATATATATATATATATATTTTTTATCCTTTTTAGATTATATTTTTTATTGTGATTGAAAGTTAGATTTTGATAGATGGAAGAAAAAATAAATTAAAAAAATTTCCAAAAGAAAATTTTTTTTGTAATAAATGTTTTACTAAACACTGCTTTTTGTTTTTTGTTATTAAAATTGTGGCAACAGCAAAAGTTACTGAACCTTATTTTTGCTTTCTGTTTTTACTTCGAAAAACAAAATTATGTTTATGTTTCTTTGCGACTGCAAAAACAGAAAACGAACACGTTACTAAATGCAACCTGAATTAGTTCAAACAAAACCAAGATCACCAGGCTTATCTCCCAGATAAACGGACAATGGTATATCACACCAAGCCCAAATGGGCCAAACCACTACAGAAGCATCCTAGAATTCAATGCAATATGTTGTTGATCTTCCAAGTTTCAATTCCCGGAAGCCGGAAGTAAAACGTAGAACTCAAATTTGCTCAGAGATTAATGAATGTGAATTGATTGCCACGTTGTATTTCATGCAAAAGCAAATTCACCACCCAGGGCCAACAAGAGTAAACATAGGAGAAACCAATGTATAGTTGGATTCAGAGAGATGTATGGTATGACCTTGAAAAGGAAGTCCACTCTGTTCCTCATTTTTCCCATATTCTAGTAGTGAATGCAATGGGTTATCTTCCTCTGCCCGAACTCCTTACTGAAGGCTTTTTCGCTATGGGGTTGTTTATACCACCATCTTCCGACAGTAACTAGATAAAGGCATTGACGCCTGCTTGACCAGCTCGCTTGGAAGTTCAACCCCCACCTGCCTTCACTTTTACATAGTGAGAACACGAGAATGAAGTCGGAACCTGCTGAACATTTGAAAGATTCAACTTCTCCTGAAATAACTTCAAAAGCACTGGAGCTTCTTCCTCGTACTTTTTCACATAGTTCTTTAGGAAGTAACTTTCAGGAGACTCCAACATCCAACTCAAGCCAAATTTGTTCTTAAGCAAACCTTTTGACAGCAGACTTTAATAAACCAAATGCCTTGGAATGATCCTCCTCTCCAAGCTCAAGCAAATAAGCACTGGACTCGTCGCAACAATTGAAGACTCCCAACCCACTTTATTGACAAAAAAATCCATTTTCTTTATAATCTTAGCATCCGACTTCATCATAAACCATGGATTCTTCCCAAAAGCCACCAAAATCTCATCCTCAGACAAAAACCACTTCTTATAAACCTCCACCTTCTTTTCCCAATTTGATTTACTCAGTGCATGAACTGCAAAAGCGAAATTCATTCTCTCAGGGTTAAGACCCATTTTCTTTACTTCCTCCACAATCTCCTTAAACCGATCAGTACTAGTCATGAAATCCCACAGCAGCTGCTTAGGGAATTGGAACAAAATGTTATCTTGATGTAGAACTGAATTAGATTAGCAATCTTCCAGCAACAACATGACTGTACCTAGTTGTAACAAATTATTCATATTAACTATTAAAAAGATCTTGCAAAGTCAGAGTTGTAACAAAAACTACTAAATTATTCAGCTAAATGCATACATGATTAATGAAAGATATATTAGTGCTGCACAAAGTATCTAAGCATTTAGAAACGAAATCGAATAAATACTTAACCAAAATATTGAATTAAGATCATGAAAACCAAAAAAAAAAAAACTGATCATAAATACCTAATGTTGAACAGCCACGGGCATCCCTCGTAATGCTGGTGTTTTCGTCAGGCAAAAGCAAGAACAGGGTGAACTTTGGGGATATTTTAGAGTCTGGCAAAAGCACCCAGAAGAAGGTTGAACTTTGGGATGTTTTAGAGGTAGGCTTGGTAACCTTCCAAGTTGTTTTTTCACCTAACGTTTTATGCTCACACTGCACAAAGAGTTGAAGACGGGTTTGGTAACCTTTTTTATGTTTTAGAGGAAGATGGCATATGGAATGAATCATGAATTCAACCAACAATGTCACACTTGAACAAAGACAACAACGTTTTACAATGTCATTTATTTATACTTTCACGAAGATAACCGTTGCTGGATAGAAAAACAAAAAAAAATACAACACTGAGCTAGATATTTGCATCATTAGAATTAAAAATCAAAATCATAATTTAACAAATTGAACTAGTTCTAAAATTATATAGCAAAGAAAACCAAGACCACCTAGACTGATCTCAACAGATAACAGACAAGGGCTACAAAAGTACCGGAGAATTCAATGCACCATGTTGTTGAGCTTCAAGTTTCAATTTTCGGAACTAAAACAGAGAACACAGATTTGCTCGGAGATTAATGAATGTGAATTGATTGACATGTTATATTTCAAACAAAAGCATACTCACCATCTGTACGAAATAAACTCTTCACTAATGTTCGCCAAGCTTTATGTCAATATAGTTGGGATCTTGGTGAGCTCAGTGCTCGAAATGCCAGCCGAGTTAAAGACCTGGAACTTGGGCAAAATGGTTTTCTTGGAATCCCATAGAGAAGTTTTGGGCGTTTTTCTGATCCCGAGAAAACCCTTTTCCCCAAATTCGAGTTCTTCAAACTATGTGTTTTTTTTTTTTGAAGAAGTAGAGAACCGAATCTGGTTTTGTCTAGGGTTTGAAATTGAAGTATTTGGAAGCAGAAATAGCAGTTCGTGGACTCAACCCACATGAATTGATGAGCTAATTGACTGTAAATGAGTGTTGATTTGTGGAAGTTGAGATGGATTTGAGAGATGGAGACAGTTTATGGATTGTTGAATTTAAAACACGAGCATCTATAAATAAAATCATTGGAGATTAAAGGTGTGATAAAACACTGTGATTCTAGGGCCGGCTCAACGATAAGGCGACTAGGACTCATCCAAAGAAGAGGCTGCGCCTTTTCTCTCCAGTATTCGTTAAGGCTGCCCCTTAAGGCCCGAATGAAAAAAAGAGGCCTCATATTTTTCTTAATGTATTAATTGTGAATCCTTTAATATATTAATTACCAAATAAATGCATCTATTATATTAATCAATGCAAGTTGTGGTCCCAATGAAAAAAAGGTTGTCAAATTTTTTCTAATGTGTTAATTATGTTTCCTTTAATCTATTAATTACCTTATAAAAAGGGAATATTATATTAAGGCTTTCCACTTCTATATTTTTTAAATTATATGACAAAAATTACCCTAAAAAAATATATTATACAGTGTTCTCTAGCCTTTTTTTCCTCACTTCTCTGGTGGTACCACTCTCTCAACTTAGTCTTCATAATCTATTCTCTCTTTTGTTTCTCTTTCATTCATACTCTTCTTTCCCCTACCATCTTTCCTCTCCTACTGGCATATGGATTGCCCTCAACATATTAAAGACAAAACTATAAACTTATAATAATAAAAAGAAAAAGAAAAAAGATTAATCCGAACAATACAAAGAGGATGTGGAAAATAATAGTTGACGATGAATATGAGGACACCATAACAAATATGGCTTAGTAAAAATTTCAAAGCCTATAATTATACACTCTGTAGTGTTTCTTAGGCTTCGTTTGGATTGAGTGATTTGGAAAGAAAAGAAAATAAAAGAAAGATAGTGAAAATCTGAATAGCTTTTAGTAGAGAGAAGAAAGGATTGGGAAAGATTTAGAGAGATAGTTATCCCTCTAAATCCCCCATGTGTAGAGATGGCAAAAATTCTCACCTGCGTGTGGCCGCCCGTCCCGTCCTGTTTAGAGTGATTTTGGGGAACCGATTATATAAATGGAGACAAAAATGAGGGCTACTTTGAAAAACTCAACGGGTTTTGAGGTGGTTATGGGAGTAACAAAATTAAACGGGGATAAGGACGGGGAATGAGATCCCGCCCCATTCCTACCTCATGTGTTATCCTTCAAAAAATGAGAAGATTTGGAGAGAAATTATAGTGAGTAAGTGTATTTTTCATAATTTCAAAACTACCCTCTTATAACATTTGACTCTCATTTTATAACATTTTATAAAAAGGTTATGATAGTAATTAAATTCTTATCATTTATTTTGTTTTATCTATTCTATATTTTCCAAATAGAAATACTATCATTTCCTTTCTTTTTTCTCATAATTTATCCAAATTTGAATAAAGGTTATTGGTATCATTTCATTTCATTTTCATTTTTATTATTTATTTATTTATTTATTTTTTTCATGTTTATCCAAATGAAGCCTTATTAGGGAGTAAGAGTGAGCCTCTAGTCAGCCAATTAAGGCCTAGGAGGGGCACGTGCCCCTGGATTGACCCCACCATCTATAAATATAAGATAATTTTTGTGATTGTTTACATATATAGAAAAAAATTATATATAATGCCCCTAAACTTTTTTTTTTTTTTTTTCTCTTTTACTTTTTAAATTCCTTTAAAAAAAAATTAAATTTCTTTAAACCATCTTTCATTTTTCTTTCCTTTTTTAATCATTTTTTCTTCCTGTATGTAACAATTTTTTTTTTTTTTTCCTTTAAAAGATCTCTCATTTTTCTTTCATTTTTCTTCATCTTTTTTCCCTACTTCTTAAAATTCTTCTTTTTTCCTCTTGTAGTATGTAACTTTGTTTCCCATCTTCTTCTTTTTTTTTTTTCTTTTTTTTTTTTTTTTATCTATTTTTCTTATTTAAATTTAATACTATAATTTTATAAAGTTAGTAGGGGTAATTTCATAAATGATTTTCAAAATACGAAGATTTACAACTCTATTCAATGAAAATATTAACAAAAATCATACAATGATTCCTTTGATTTTAAGAATCTATATGTCATATAATTTATTTATTTATTATTTTTTTTACCCCCTTAAATTAAAATGCTGGCCCCGCACTGGCTCTTGTTTGTCTCCTTCCTCCATTCCTTTCCATCTCTTTCCTTCCTATTTTTCCCTTTCCTTCTCCTTTTTTGACTCATCAGTTCCTTCCAAACATGAATGATTTCCCTCCCTCATGAAGAAGATAAAGTCAGCAGAGCATTTATAGCCCGCTTGTAGAACCCAATTTTTGAGAGCAAAATGGCCCAATTGATCCGCAGCGGCCCCACGCTAATTGGGTGAGCACCCACAAGGACTCGTAGGCTGGCTCACAGAATAGCGCGATCCCGAACCCGATTGTGGAATTTCTTTCTTCTTTTTCTTTGTTTTTTTGCCAAAACGTTTTGGGGGGCAGCGGTTGGTTTTTCTTTAATCTGGCAGCAATAGTGCCTTAAGGCAATGTTTGGCAGAATAGCTTTTGGGAAAAAAACTAAAAAATGCGTTGTTTTGAACTTTTTTATAAATAAAAATTTAAATAAAAAATATATTGTTTTAGGCCCTGTTTGTCCAAAAAAACCACCATTCACCTCACATCTAACCCATCTCTATTCTCTACCATTCAGGTTACTTCATCTTCTATTTTCTCAATCTTAACTATTTTTTTTTCTTAACTTTTTTTTTTTTTTTAACTTTTTGTTTAAATTTATTTATTTGTTTTTATTAATCCATAATGGATAATGTATTATTGAAAATTATAATATCAATCCTTGCTTTTTTAATAATTTGCAAAGATATTGTTTGAATGAAAAATATTACCGTTGAAAAATAATTTCATCATTTTAAATCTTAAAAAATTATTACATAATAGAAATTCTAGTACACGAAATGTATCCGTTAGAAATATGGCCCTTAGGAAAAGGTTAAAAATACTTTTAAGAAATTTTTTTTTTTTGTTGGAGAGCGAAAATTTGAAGAGCCTAATACAGTGCTTGTTTTTAGAAAGCAAAAGTTGCTGACGTGGCTCTTGGAATTACTGATGTGACTCAGGAAAAAAACTGAAGTGACCATTTTGGAAAGCCAAAATCTGAAAAAACTAGTGTGGTTGCTCTCAAAGCCATTGACAAAAGATACAATATCATGCATCGCCGAATTCACAAATATATTAATAATTTTAATTTGGAACTTTCTCTTCTTAGCCAATCTTAATTTGAAAAATGACATTATTTCTTTTAAAAATGAAGTTAAGGTCCCTTCATTGAAAAATAGTTGGATTAAAGAAAGAAAAATTATTCTTCAACCGACTTTAACTTAATGATCACTATTTCATAATTAGATCGCATTAGGTTACATTTTAATGCACCAAAGGAATGTAAAAGTGTCAATAAATTCCACTTTATTACATAGTGTCAATTTGTTTGAAATGAGACTATATGAAACTTTTTTATAATTGACACACGACAATCAACTTATCTTTCTCTCTCTACCCAACTTTTCTCTGGCCTCTACCCTAGCCGCTGCTCCCTGCCTTCCTCCATTTGCTTCCTCCCCACTCCCTCCCATGAAAGTGGGAGGTCCCGATCCCGGCCACCCACTGATAAATAATATCGGCGTGCTATACATAGCTTGTTCGATGGGTGGATTCACTCCTTTAAGAGAATTTAATCTCATCCTCTTCATTGCAAGATAAATCGGTGAATCTATCAAGACTGATTATGTACACCCCAATCGGAAATCCGATTTATAAAATTCATTCAGAGATACAAGTCTCAGCCTCCTCAAAGGTTAGTCAGTGAATCTATCAGAAGTGATCCTGTACACTTCAATCAAAAATCGATCTATAGATTTATTAAGAGATCTAAATCTCAACCTCCTCGATTACAGGATTGAGCACCCACATCACATCATAGTGAAAGGAACATTGATGTACTCACACAAGTTGTTATGTTACTTATTTTTCCCATTGAACCCAGGAGAAATATCACTGGGTTGGGTTCCCATAACATCATAACCGTCGATTACAGGCTCTTTCCAATCCCTTTAGATGTTTTGGACACAAGGTCCCTTCACATGTCTTTCGACAGTGGATATGCCAAATGAGATATGGCCTTAGACACTAAGTCCCTTCACATGTCTTTTGATAGTGGATATGCCAAATTAGATTCAGCCCTGGACATTAGGTCCCTTCACATGTCTTTCGACAGTGGATCTGCAAATGAGATTTGGCCTTGACACAATAAACTATGATAATCCATTTGCCAGGATCTCTTCCAGATAATTGTGCTTCAATTGCACATGTATGGACTTTTCATTGTAACACTAGCTATGAGCTTGAAGCATCGCAACCTTATTGTCACAAAAATATTTCAAAGGCAGTATAGGCTTACTTCGTATTGGAATACCCTCCAGTAAGTTCCTTACCCAATCAATTTCCTCTCCTATTCCATTGAGGAATGAGTTATCAAGTCCACCCTTTTGATTTCCAAGAAATCATAACTCCACCCATGGTGAAGATTCAAGTTGGTACGAAGTTTGAGCATCCATAACAAAGAACAGCTAGGTATTTGCAATAATCTGACCCATGATCCATAGTACTCTGCAAGTACCTCTATATTCTCATAAGAGAAATGCAATGATCTCTTACCAGATTATTTCTGTACTTGATAACAAGTTGTGTTTGCCTTGGTACAGTTCATTGCTTCATAATGACCACCAATAATTTGAGAATTCAAGTTGATTCAATGCACTACCTTGATTGCAAACTGGCTTCGATCTGGGATCAATAAGAACAAAAGACTGTATCATCTGATAAGATTTTAAACCTTTTAAGATTAATTGATAAAATTGGATTGCGTTAGAGTAAATCCATGTTGAGGCCCTACACTTTGATTTACACAATCACACCGGCCTTGCTAAGATCCATCATGTCAAAAATTCAAATTAAGAACATGATAGGCAAATAATAATTGCCAAAATTTCCTTGGAATCTCTTTTTATCAATCTGAAATTTAGCTGCAATCATTGTTTTCTCAAACATTCATTCATCTATTTAGGAGCTTTCAAAAATGAGCTTTCAAGGATAAAAATTAGTATCATCAATAAAATGATAACATATCACTTTCCCTCATTAATATAATTAGCTCATCTCAAACATGTCAATATGGATCAAATTTCTAATATTAG